GGGGTTGGGCCTTATGACACACTTCCGGTGATGTCAGGGGGTGTGGCATATGCTAATGAGTTATGCTAATGAGTTCCCCTAGCTCTTTTTCTACGAAACGACCCCTGGTGGCAATTGCAAGATATTTAACAGAGCCGAGGCTCTGGGGTCTTATCTTGCTCTTGCTGAAATCAGAAATAAAGTTGAGCTGATCACTAGACTTGAGCCTGCTCATCTAAGGAACCCAGTATTTAACACCTGTCGAAACTGATGTCAGTGCTTGTGGATCGACTTCAGCATACAGAAAAAGATCCCAGTTAAAACTCAGAGTCACTAAATGGCTTTAGCTAGGGTTGCTAGGCTCCAGGAGGCACTGGGAAATCTCCCACTATTATAATTGATCTCCGGATGACCGAGATGAATTCCCCTGGAGAAAATGGCTGCTTTGGAGGGTGGACTCTGTGGCACTGTATCCTGCTGAGGACTCGCCCCTTTCCAAACCCCACCCTCCTCAGGCTCCACCCCAAAAATCTCTAGGTATTTCCGAACCCAGAACTGGCAACCCTAAAAGTGACTCATCCATAACTTTCCGTTTGTAAAACTGGAGTCCCTGCCAGGAAAAGTACAGTGAAGATTGTACAGCATCTTTTTTGTTTTGAAAGTGTAACCCACTAAGGTCCTCAGATCTGCAGGGAGAGTGGGCAGGTTCAGTCGGTTTTGACAGCGGAACTCCCACCTATGGTTATTAAGAATGTGTAACTGCTGTTACTACACATGTACTTAAACACAGACATAAGAGAGGCAATACAACCAATGCACTTTAACATTTAAAATAAACTCTTTATATAAACAAAGCATGGTGGTTTTCATATAAATCCTCATTCACTCCTGGTTGGTTGCTATTACCAGGGGTCATTTCGTAGAAAAAGATCTAGGGGAACTCATTAGCATAACTCATTAGCATATGCCACACCCCCTGATATCAGGGGCCCGGCGATGGACCTGCAAGGCCAGCGGGAGTGCGAGGAGGGTGGGGAGAGGTGGGGAGGAAGGGCAGGGGTGGGGAGAGGTGGGGAGGAAGCAACTTACCCTCCCTCTTTTCCTGCCTCCTCCTGGCTGAATGAGGGCTGGAAGCGGGGCAGCCGGAAGCAGGGGGCGGGGCTTCGTCATGTGCCCCGCCCCCTGCACCTCACCCGGGGGAACTGCGTTCCCCCGCGTTCCCCTTCGAAATGACCTCTGGCTATTACTTCATAGCAATGAATCTTCAGGATATTACGGAGTACAGATATCTTCAGTATCCACAAGGATGAACAGAACAGAAAAAAATACTAAGCACATAGATAAGACATATAGTGTAGGTCCATATGTTGTAAGCTCACAGATACTGGAACAGCATACGAGGTTTCCAGGCTGTACTTGGGAGGCTGCAGCTCTTCTCAGTTGACTCCAGGATTTACCTGCAATAATTCAAGGCAGGCCTTAACACAACCAAGTCTATATAGGCCTCTCCCCAAGATGTTGCCTCTTTCTGGGCCAGGCCGAACTGCTCACTGCATTAACAAACAGAATACTAAGGAAGATATTTAAAAGGATCAATAACTATAAAATTACATATTTTCACAATCATGTGGTAAATGAAATTTTCTCTTACCAATAAGTAATTTCTGGAGACAGACTTTCCTTCAGTGAATCAGAATTTTTATTTGGTTACAGCCTGCAGGCAGGGTGTGCTACCCAGAGAATCCTGGGAACACACACTGAATTGGGTTCTGTGCTAGATATTTATCCTGTCCCTGAGTGGTGTGAAAAATAAGAAACGCCCTCTCCGCCTCCCAGAACTGAGAGTCAGGAGTTACAACTTCCAATCACCGACCGCCTAATCACTTCTGCTTTTTGTTAGACAAGCCCACTACTTTCCCAAAATGGGCATAATTCCTTTATGCCAAACATGGTATTAACTTTCTCTATTCTTTCCTAACCTTTCTTCATAACCCACAACGGCCCACCACAAGTATCTTGAGACAGGTTTTCTCGTAAATCGGGATGGTCTTCTTGTAAAGAATGGACTGGTCTTCTCGTAAAGCATGGACCTTTAGACCGCAAGATGTCCTATTTCAACAGGCCTGTCTTGGGCCATCATCTCTGCGACAGACTTGATTATCAGAGTCAAAAATGCCAGGTTCCTCATTTCTTTTAGGCTTGGTTAGCATATACACTAAGAATATAAAAATATGCAAGATTAAACATAATAGTTCCTTTGCAAAGCTTCTGCCTATCTTTATGTTTCAACTGCCCAACTGTTAATCATTCCACTGGATAGCCAGGTATCTTAGGTGCTTTTCCTGTCACCCAAATTGCTGATTGTAACCAGGTTCTTTAAGACTGCTACATTGACAGTTGTCTTGGCCACACTTCTGCTTTCTAATTAAGCCAGCCTCAGCATCTATTCTCAAGCAATATACTCTTAATTTCAATACACAGCCAACAGGCAAACTCAGTATAAGTTTTAAAGTAAAAAAAGATCCTTAATCTATGTGAAATAGTTCTGCCGCATGCTACTTCTGCTTTCTGCTAAATGTAGCGTTTTGCAAGGTGAGTGGAGATGTTTGTGCAAGCTGGCTTCTGCTATGTGTCTGACTTCCCCATTTCTAACTCCTCTTTAGCTCAGCTTCTTATTAAGCCTTAATCATTAATTGATTTCCAGCAATGCAATTTTAAAGCAATACTTTTAAAGAGTTTCTGACAGAAGTCTTTATTCAATTCATTTCTTACAATCATATGGAATTACTATTAAGTATCTTAATAGTCCCAAACCAACATTTAATAACTTCCCAAGAAGTAACTTCACCTTTGTTTGAAAGAATCTCTAATAATTACATTGGTTAACAGCATTTACCTGCAATAATTCAAGGCAGGCCTTAACACAGCAAAGTCTATATAGGCCTCTCCCCAAGATGTTGCCTCTTTCTGGGCCAGGCTGAACTGCTGGCTGCTGGGAATACCCAGCCTCCTTTAGGGAAGGCTACAAGCACTGAGCATGCTCATTAACTAAGTATAGAAGGGGGGAAAGGGAGTTAATTGCCACACCACCTATTGGCAAAAGCAGGCGTGCCTGATCCCTGTATGCTGTTAACAGCTACAAAACTGCATGGGTTACAAAAGCATTTTAAAAAAATCGTCATTCATTGCTGAAAAGGGATTCCTTTACTGGTGCTTAACAGGAGATCATGGTCTTTTACTCCGGATGCATCGATCAGGAATTGCAACACACAACATGTACTATTAAAGGGTCATTTCCATTTCTTCCAGTTCCATTTCGTGCGACAGAGCCGTAAGCCATGGTGAAAGACAAGAAGAAGAAACAAGACAAGAAGGAGAAGAAGAAGAAAAAGGCATCTCAGCAGCCCAAGGAAGTCCGAACGTATTTTCCAGAAGCTCTGTTGGAATATCAGTACGTATAACAGGAAGGAAATTCGGCATCTCAGTATGTTCCTGTCTGGTGGGCTGAAGAGAGGATCCTCTCCTCTTACTAGCCCTTTGTGGACAAAAGGATCTTTGCTGCCACCCTGCTGACCAAGGGTTGCCAACTCCAGGTTTGGAGATTCTTGGAGATTTGGGAGTTGGATCCTGGGCAGGGAATTAAGCAGTCCATCCTCCAAAGCAGACGTTTTCTCCAGGGGAACAGCTCTGTGCAGTCTGAAGATCAGTTGCAATTCTAAAAGAGCAGAGGTCCATCAGTGGCTGTTAGCCACAAGGTATAGATAGGAACTCTCAGGCTGGGGCAAGTGATGCCTGGTATTTTTGGCCACCGTGTGACAGAGTGTTGGACTGGATGGGCCATTGGCCTGATCCAGCATTGGCTTCTCTTATGTTCTTATGTCTGGAGCAAGGGATGCTCTGTATTCTTGGTGCTTGGGGGGGGGGGCAACAGGGGGAGGGCTTCTAGTGTCCTGGCCCCCCTGCAGGCCCTCCGGCCTCCTGGTGGCACCTGGTATTTTCGGCCACCGTGTGACAGAGTGTTGGACGGGATGGGCCTTTGGCCTGATCCAGAATTGACTTCTCTTATGTTATTATGTCTGGAGCAAGGGATGCTCTGTATTCTTGGTGCTTTGGGGGGGCAACAGTGGGAGGGCTTCAAGTGTTCTAGCCCCACTGCTGGACCTCCTGATGGCACCTGGTATTTTTGGCCACCGTGTGACAGAGTGTTGGACTGGATGGGCCACTGGCCTGATCCAACATTGGCTTCTCTGATGTTCTTGTGTGTGTGTGTGTGGGTGTGTACACACACACACACATACATATATACACACACATACACATAAGAACATCAGAGAAGCCAATGTTGGATCAGGCCATCTAGCACATTTACACATCACCTTCTTTCAGATCTCATGTACAATGGGTAACTGCAGATCCAGCCAGGGTTGCCAACTCTGTATTGGAAAATACCTGGAGGATTTGGGGGTGGAGCCTGAGGAGGGCGGGGTTTGGGGAGGGGAGGGACTTCAACAGGCATAATGCCACATAGACTCCACCTTCCAAAGCAGCCATTGCCTCCAGGGCAACTGATGTGTCGCCTGGAGATCAGGAGTAATTCCAGGAGAGTTCCAGACTCTGCTTGGAGGTTGGCAGCTCTTCCAGGAGCCTACAGTCTATGTCTTTCAGTCTGTTTTCAGCTGATGGTTGCGGTCACATTGCATGAAGCTGCCCTCCCACGATGCAGAGGACTGAGCGACATATAACAACTTTTGGACCCCTTGTAAATTCCATACTTATGTTATTTGCTTTCCACAAAAAAGGCTGGTAATTCCCCACGCAGTTTCTGTTTTCAGTAACCCTCAGTAGCTGTATGGTCACTCCTCCCATTTGCTTATTTCTCTGCAGAATTCAAATAAAAGAAGATGTCATCGATCAGCTTCTGCTTGAAATCAAGCGCTTGGAGGACATAAATGAGAGATGCCACGAAAGGGTAAGTGAACCAGCACCTCTGCTTAAAGCGACTACTGCTCGGTGGCTAAGGGGATGGACTTATGATCCGGAACATTCCCAGTTCATTAGGTAGCCTTAAGGCTCAATTACATGTGACGTTGGAGTCCCGTCAGGTTCATGCTGTTAAGTATGCAACACAACAACAAAGTAAGTAATAAGTGATTCAGCTTTATTCAAGAACGAGAACTTCCAAGATCACACAACATCTGACGACACACCACAAAACAACAGTGGAGCACAGCTCCTTTTAAACTCTCCCGGGCTGGGGTAGCCACGCCCTCTCATAGTTCACATCCAATCACATTGTAAAGATAACATCCAATCATTTGTCTCCCCTCCAGCACAGACTCTCACATTTCATTGGTTACATACATTGCTTCAGCCAGTGGTATTGTTTCAGATTAGAATCCGGCTGAGGTCTCAAGCTTAACTTAAGTTGAGATGGAGTGAATACACAACACATGCGTTGGACTAGTACCTGAAATCCTTGCTCTGCTACAGAACTCACTGGGTGACCTCGGGGCCCCTCCCTTCAGCCTCACCTACCTCACAGGGCTGTTGTGAGGATCAAATAGAGAAGGAAGAATCGTGTACGCCGCACTGGGATCCTTGGAGGAAGGGCGGGATACAAATGGACTAGATAGATAGCTAGAATGGGCCCCGGTTGGCTAGGACCAAGACTGATGTATAAATATTTTAAATAAATGGGTTACATTCTTCCCCTGAACATTCTTCCCCGGTACATTCTCCCCCTGTACTGTTTCCCCAGTCAATACGTCACCCCCCTTCCAGGCTCTTCTAAAGCCCAGTCATGGGGAAAGACAGGCAAATTGTAGCTTTCTGTCATTTCCCCCTATCTGGGCTTAAAGCAGTGCTGGGCAACTGTTTGCGGTTGAGGAAGTGACATGCAGCCGGGAGATTAAGTTTTGAAAAATAAAACAAAATAAAGCAAGAAGCACTGAAGCAGAGCCAGTTTGGTGTAGTGGTTAAGTGCGCGGACTCTAATCTGGGAGAACCAGGTTTGATTCCCCACTCCTCCACTTGCAGCTGCCGGATGACCTGGGGCAAGCCATAGTTCTGTCGGAGCTGTTCTCTCAAGGACAGTTCTGTGAAGAGCTCTCTCAGCCCCGCCTACCTCACAGGGTGTCTGTTGGGAGGAGGGGAAGGGAAAGGAGATTGTAAGATGCTCTGAGACTCCAATCTCATCAGATCTCAGAAGCTAGGCAGGGTCTGCCCAAGTTAGTCTTTGTCTGGGAAACCACCGAGGAAGACCAGGGTTGCTACGCAGAGGAAGGTAATGGCAAACCACCTCTGTTTCTCTCTTGCCTTGAAACCCCTACCGGGTCTCCATGAGTTGTTTGAGACGTGATGGCACTTAATTAGTATTAATTGCTAACCCAATCTCATCAGATCTCGGAAGCTTAGCAGGGTCGGCCCCGGTTAGCACTTGGATGGGAGACCCCCCCAAGGAAGTCCAGAGTGTTGTTACGCAGAAGCAAGCCATGGCAAACCACCTCTGTTCATCTCTTCCCTTGAAAATCCCATGAGGGCCCAACATAAGTCAGTTGTGACTTGATAGAAGAAGAAGAAGAAGAGATTGGATTAATAACCCGCCCTTCACTTGGAGTCTCAGAGCGGCTTACAAACTCCTTTCCCTTCCCCTCCCCACAACATACACCCTGTGAGGTGGGTGGGGCTGAGAGAGCTCTGACACAAACTGCTCTTTTTCAAGGACAGTTGTGCCAGAGCTTGTGACTGACCCAAGGTCACATCAGCAGGTGCAAGTGGAGGAGTGGGGGAATCAAACCCGGTTCTCCCAGATTAGAGTCCTTGCACTTAACCACTACACCAAACTGGCTCCACCAAACTGCAGGACCACCAGTGGGGCCAGGACACTAGAAGCCCTCCCACTGTTGCCCCCCCCCCCCAAGCACCGAGAATACGGAACATCTCTTGCCCCAGACTGAGAGTTCCTCTCTCTGCCTTGTGGCTAATAAGCCACTGATGGACCTCTGCTCCATACGTTTATCTAATTCCCTCTTGAAGCCGTCCATGCCTGCAGCCACCACCACCTCCTGTGGCAGTGAGTTCCATGGGTTAATCACTCTTTGTTACAATGAGGACATGGAGAGACCCACTGGGTTTTCATTACAGTTGCACCATACAGTTTCTTTATTATTTCGTAGGGTTTTGTTGAATTTGCTTCACAGTTTTCGTTAGCTGTCTTGAAGGTGGGAATGGAAAACACGGAACATGAAAAACTACTTTACACAGAGAGTGATTAAAATGTGGAATTCGCTGCCAGAGGATGTAGCGATGGCCACAGGAACAAACAGCTTGAAAAGGGGGATTAGACAGATTCATGGAGGATAAGTCTATCAGTGGCTACTAGCCATGGTGGCTGACGGGAACCTTCATGTTCAGAGGCACTAATCCTCTGAATCCCAGAGCTAGGAGGCAACATCGTGGGAAGGCCTCGGCCTCTATGCCCTGTTGTTGGCCATCCAGAGGAACTGGTGGTTGGCCACTGTGTGAGACAGGATGCTGGAGTAGAGGAACCAAATTGGCCTGATCCAGCAGGGCTCTTCTTAGGTTCTTATCAGGGGAAGACTTCGGCCTCTGTGCCCTGTTGATGGCCCTCCAGAGGAACTGGTTGGCCGTTGTGTGAGACAGGATGCTGGACTAGATGGACCACTGGTCTGATCCAGTAGGGCTCTTCTGACGTTCTTATCAGGGGAAGACTTCGGCCTCCATGCCGTGTTGTTGGCCCTCCAGAGGAACTGGTTGGCTGTTGTGTGAGGCAGGATGCTGGACTAGATGGACCACTGGTCTGATCCAGTAGGGCTCTTCTTAGGTTCTTATCAGGGGAAGGCCTCGGGCTCTATGCCCTGTTGATGGCCCTCCAGAGGAACTGGTTGGCCACTGTGTGAGACAGGATGCTGGACTAGATGGACCACTGGTCTGATCCAGCAGGGCCCTTCTTACGTTATTATGAGTCAAAATGAACAACAGGACAAGTCGAAGCGTTTGCGTCTCCTTTTCTTTTCAGAACCAGAACCTAAAGGCAGAACAGACTGGCCACCTCCGAGCACTTCTAACCACCCTGAAAGAGCAGGAGAAGGAACTGGAGAAACTTGAGGTTGTGACCAGGGATGATGTGGAGAAAGCCATGAAGGACAAATGGCAGTACATTAAGGACCAGGAAAAACTGATCAAAGGCAAGTCATGCATCAGGATATCTCAAGAAATATTGGTGTTTAGAGGAGGATATGGTGGGCATCAGATCTGCCCTTCCTTCCTTCCTTCCTTCCTTCCTTCCTATCGTGAAGAATGTACAAGACTTAACACACAATACATCTGAAACATAGGTGAAAGTGCTATGGAACAAGATAGAAAAATAGTAAAACAAAGTAGGTTGATGTTACGTAACTGAATATGATCTTCTACATGTAAAGCTGCATGTTAAGCACAGTAGTGACTCATCAAAAGTCCATGTCCATTTCTGACAATGTTAGCTGCTCTGATGATGACTCAGCCCTGCACCGTCTCAAGTACGAAGAGAGACAGAAAGAGAACAAAATAAATGGGGAAAGTTTGAAGAGATCTGCCCTGTCTTTAAAGTATTGGAAGCCAAAGTATATCCTCAGCTCTTACCTTATTCCAACAGCATAGGTACAAGATACTCACAATGCCTTGGAGACATCTTCAGAGCAGGAGTAGGAGCAATACTGAATATACTGAAATGCAGGTCATTTGCATGGGTGAGGTTGGAAGCCGGTCTTCTCCCAAATAGTTCCAAGCTAGTGACCAGGTCAGTAGATTACTGGTTAAAGATTAACCAGACGGAAGGTAGATTCCCAAAGAATTCATATGATGGAGCAGCATATAGACGGTTCATGACGGTTGCCCATAACAGAAACGGAATTGCCAGTGGTTCAGTCTGAGGAACCCAGTTTCATGCCTTTAACAGCTAAATGGCAGGGGGAAATGTATTGGGTATACCTCTTCTGCCTAAGTGGTGTAGTGGTTAAGTGCGCTGACTCTAATCTAGGAGAACCGGGTTTGATTCCCCCACTCCTCCTCTTGCACCTGCTGGATGACCTTGGGCAAGCCATAGTTCTGACAAGAGCTGTCCTTGAAAAAAGAGCAGTTTCTGTCAGAGTTCTCTCAGCCCCACCTCCCTCACAGGGTGTCTGTTGTGGGGAGGGGAAGGGAAATGAGTTTGTAAGCCGCTCTGAGACACCTTTGGGTCCGTGAAGGGCGGGGTGTAAATCCAATCTCTTTTTCTTCTTCTTCTCTAATTTCTCCAATAGCTACAGGGTAAGCATGATGTTTAAAAAGCCTGTACAGAATTAGTTCCCCATGTATATTTTTGAACTGTGAGTCAATAGAACAGTTTGCTGCGGCCATCTAACCTCCAGTCTGTAGAAAAGCGAGAAAGGCAGCCTCTAAGGAATGTAAATAAATATCCGCATGCCTTATTTTTAAAGGCTTTGAATGTTTCCTAGTATGAAAGCAGCACCAAAGAGTCATGCGTGAAACTTAAAGGGTTAAAAAGAAAGGTATAATAACAACAAAGACATCTGATGAGACCTTGTCAGTCTTGAGTGCGCAGTCTTAAAAGATTTTCCCTAACACGGAACTGTTCTAGTGGTCTTTCACAATACGTAGGAGGTGTTTTGAGCTTAGCATCGAGCGGTCAGCCAGATTTGCTGGACACACAGGGATTAGACAGAAGGCTGCCACATTCCAGAAAGCAGCCACAAATGAAAACACTGCCAATGAAATGACAGATGTGCACCGCACTGAATCAAATGCCGGCGTAGCTGGAGATTTTGTTCATCTCCCCCCCCCCCCAATGTTCCAGGCAGTCTATTTGGTTTTTTTTGTTTCTTTGTTTGTTGAAGCACCCTGCATCATTTCTTTCATCATTCACTCGCCATTTTGTTTTCATTAGAGGGTCAACGGAAACGTTTTTAAAGTGCAAGGCTGCTCGGGAGGATGGGCGGGAAGGAGCCTTCTTGGTGGTGGCATCATGATGACCGCCAGTTGTGGGAGCAAGGTGATCAGCGCTGTGAACAGCTGGCTTCTGCTTGAGCTATACAGAATCACTTTCCTCAGCCCACATCGAAGCTCGTCTTGGAGAGGAAAAAATATATTTGGCCTAAATGCAGTGAGGGTGCCTCCAGAGCAGCCTCACTGCTCTTTAAAAAAGTAGAGTCTGGCTCATGACGTATGTACGTTTTCAGAGCAGTAAACCTTTAATCTAGACTTTGGATTCTGTGCCCAACTTATGCACCCTTCTTTTTCATCTTCAGGGCTCTTTTTCTAGATAAAGCCCAGCAGGAACCCATTAGCATAATAGGCCACACCCAACAGCAGAAACTCATTAAAATATTAGGCCACACCCCTGACAGCACCGCTCATTGTCATATTATGCCACACCCCCATGTTACCAGAAGTGTGCTCATCTAGCCACACCCACCTTTTGCTTCTTATTCTGCTTACCTTGTTTGTTGTCAAAACCCAGGGCCTTTTTTGTAGCAGGAACTCCTTTGCATGTTAGGCCACACACCCCTAATGTAGCCAATCCTAATGAGTTTCTGCTGTTGGGTGTGGCCTGTTATGCTAATGAGTTCCTGCTAGGCGTGGCCAACTTGGAAGCCAGCCGGAACTCCGTTCCTGTGCGTCCCTGCCCAAAAATAGCCCTGGGTGTATTTATTCTGCAGCTACAATAAAAAACAACACTTTTCTAAATTGGGGGGGGGGCATCACTTGTGATGTGTGGGGTGTGGCACTATGTCACAGACACTGTGTCACAGAGACCTGTTGTTTTGCTTTATTTCTGTAGAGGGGTACGCACTTAGTGTGTGTGGGGGTAGTTGACCGTTATTTCTGGCGGGCAAATGCCGTGGGGTGATTGGGTCCCGATCTTTAGTGCCTTTGCTTGAACACAATATATCTGCAATCTCTGTGCTTTCACAACCAGTCGTAACAAAGCTCATATTCAGTATGGTATTCTTCAACGTCTTACTTTGGCACACTTCAGGTAGCTCTCTGCATAGGCGTAATCTTCGTGGGGGCGTCGGGGCTTCAGCCCCCACCGAAATTTTTAGGAAGGGGCTCAGCCTCCCCCGGGGGCAGGGCTCGGTTTGGGGGGGAGTTCGCCTCTCCGGTACTGTGCTCTGGGAGTGAGGCAGGCACATAACCAAGCCCCGCCCCCTGCAGCCCTCAGACAGCACCAGAAGCCAGAAGAAAGGTAAACTGCCTGCCTCTCGCCCCATTCCCAGTTTCATAGGGCTGCGTGGAGGCGCAGCGACCCGGCCTCCTGCCCCATCCCCGGCTTCCTCTGTCGCCCCTGCCTGCTTGCCCGCAGAGACGGACTGGCAGAGAGAGAAAGACCTCTGGAGCGCCCCCCCCCCACCTTTCTGTGCTTGCCTGCTGAGGCGGATGGGCAGGGAAAGGCCTGCAGAGGCGCCCCCCGCCATTCCCCGTTTGTGTATGAGTGCGTATGTGCCCCTCTGTAGGTTCTCTGTTTCCCATCTCTCTCTCTTTCTGTGTATGTCTCTCTGCCCCTCTATGTGTGTGTTTGTCTCTCTCTCTCTGCCCCATCTCTGTGTGTGTGTGTGTGTGTGTCTGTCCCTCTCTGTGCCGCGCGCGCTCTGTGTGTGTTTGCCCCTGTGTGTGTCTGTTTCTCTCTCTCTCTTTGCCCCTTCTGTGTGCTTGAGTCCCTGGCTGCCTGCCTTCAGCCGGGCCTGCAGGAGCAGGAAGCAGCACGTGCTGCTTCCTCTTTCAACCACCACTTCCACCAGCAAGGCAGGCAAGCTGGTGGGGTGGTATG